TTTTTTTTCAAATAATTTTCAAACAATTAATTTACAAAACTACATTTTTTCAAAAGGATGAGAATATTCAGCAAAGGAAAAGGCGAAATCAAAGATTCTGTTTTTAAGATATTTTTTTTATGTACTATATTATTTCCTTTTTCTGTATAATTTTTCTGTCCCCTTTTTATAATAATATCTGATAAGAGTACCATATGCGTGAAGTAAGTATCTTAATCGTATAAATCTGTACTGTGCCTACTCGCATTAACAAAATAAAAATAATTATACTACCATTAACTGAAGGTTATGATCCTTCTATAATTTTTATAATTATTTATAATTTATTTTTATAATTTTTATATGTTTTTTTTTTATTATCGAACAAATTAGTTTTTTCAAATTAGTGAGTGACGTTATGATCATTTTTAATCTCTGAAACATTTCTAGCACAGCAGAAACGTATGAATAAGATACTTACATCAAATAAGTCTATGCAATTAAATTTATATGATTACATATATTATGTACATGCCTATATGTATATGCCTATATGTGTTAAATGTAGGCATATATATTAATCTACACGCAATTTTCTGCTGAAGTGATCGCAATGATCAGATTAAGCACAAGTTAACCAGATAATGAAAAACCGGATCTGAAACTTATATCTTATGCGTTAGAAATTGTATCTAACATTACAAAATTCGAGAGTCTCGGTGTAAAAAGGCTCCTATCGCTCTCGAATTCGGATTTTAAGTCTCGTCTCGATCTCGTTTCGATCATCGGTATCAATACCGAGACTATCTCAGTTCTAATCTATTTGGTGGAATGACGCCGTTGTTAAGGAACGTAAAGATTTTGTCGATATAAACAAATTTTCTACATATCTTGATCAAAAAGTTCCCGGAATGCATTCAGAAAATTCAAAATACAAGTTTTATTCATTAAAAGTGGTATTGTCCCCTTCAAAGTATTCCCCATCTACTGTAACGCACTTATGCCAGCGCTTGATCCAGCTCTCGAAACATTTCTGGAACTCTATTGTTGGTATAGCCATCAGAGCCGTCTTCGATTTTTTCATTACCTCCTTTCGGCTGTTAAAACGCGTTCCCCATAATGGTTTTTTAACTCGATCGAACAGAAAAAAATCGCAGGGAGCCATATCAGGTAAATTCGATGGCTGTTGAATGATATTCGTTTCGTTCTTGATCAAAAATTCACGGATAATGATGTGCACCGTGCGATGGTGCGTTATCATGGTGCAAAATCCACGAGTTGTTTGCCCACAAATCCTTTCTTTTTTGGTGAACTGCTTCACGTAAACGTCTCATAACGTCCAAATAATACTCCTTATTAACTGTCTGACCTTCTGGCAAAAATTCGTGATGTACAATATCGTTTGTAATCCACGAAAACTGTGAGCATCGCTTTCTTTTTCGAAAACGTGATTTTTTTGGTCTTTTGGCTCATTTGAAGCTTTCCATTCACTCGCCTGATGTCTGGATTGCATGTCGTACTCATAAACCCACGTGTCGTCTCCAGTAATGATGCGTTTGATGAATGTTGGGTTGGATTCAGCCTTGGAAATCATCTTTGACAACGCGGTCCCTTTTTTGCATGAAATTCAGTTCCTTCACCAACTTTGCAGCAACACGGCGCAAACCCAAACCATTAACTACAATGTCCTGAATGGATCCATCAGCAATGTTTAAGTCCTCTGATAGTTAATTTACAGTTATTGATCAATATTTCTCTCACTTTATTGATGTTTTCGTCGGTTTTCGATGTCGACCTGCTACTGCGTTCGTCATCCTCGACGGATTCACGATCACTTTTGAAGCGTTCATGCCATTCATAAACGGCTGTTTTCTTTAGAGTATCACTGCCGAAATAGTTTCCCAACATTTCCAAGGTTTTGACATCCATTGAATCCATTTTTAAAGCAAAATTTAATACAAACTCGTTGTTGCAAATTCAACTCCATTTTTAAAACTATAAAAAATCGAAAATACGAGCAGAGATAGATGTACTCAAGACTAACTTTTACAAATGTCAAGCTAGCTGATAAAAGCTGATGATAAAATTTGGGAATGTCAGTGATAGATATGGCAACCTAACAAAAAAAAACAGAACTTAAATCAGCTGACTCAGAGCATCACCTGGATAATTCCAGGAACTTTTTGATCAAGGTAATATTGATACTTTGGCTGTTGCAATGATTTTGAATAAACGTATACGTCGTACACGTTTTCGAAACGTACACTGTTCGATCACTCGATCAAGCTTATGAGAACATTGGTTTTACCGCAATTTGACGGGCCGCAAATAATCGCACGTATAGTACTCGACAGAATTTCATCGTGCTTGCGCTTCTCCACGCCGCCTCCCATTATTCGCGATTTTGCAGTGACGCGTATCGTCAGCTGTTGCCGTATTTCATGCTCACACTACGGATTGTGCGCTCTCGATCATCTATTTTTAAAAGTGCGCGAATCGGCGAGTAACAAAATATATTTCGCGCTGTATCATCCTTTCGACTTTCAGGACTAGAGCAGCTGCAGTATATTCTGAAGGTCGTACTCTTACGCGTGTAAGATGATTATATCGACTACGTGTGGGATCGCTTCCGGAACACGTGAAGGCGGATTCTGAGATTCGGATGTATCATCGCTGCGACGAACACTATAATCAATCGTGGCAGCAGACGCACATCGATAGATGGAATCCGGCATCGAAGATGAAAATAGCGAATGTCGGTGTCGCGCGGCAGTCTGCTGAATCGAGCGATAAAGGTGCTTCCTTTCGAGTTACATATCCCGTATTCTCGAAACAACGATCTCCGATAGACACGTGGCGGACAAGGTACTCGCCGATAAAATGTTAGGATGCATAATCGCGAGAGATTCGGCTTTGAGCGAGAGTCGCCGCTGCTGCCATTTGGGCCAAGACCAAAATCGGCATGGGTATGAAACCGAAGAAGAAAACAATGAGAAAAAAGACAACGAAAAAAATAGACATTATCAATGGCATGAAAACGAGGCGGCATGTTACTTTTTCTGCCAATGTTAGGCGTGCTCGAATCCTTGATTAGCAAAATGGCCAGCGTGACGTAAATATATGATAGCAAATCCGCGTGACGTCGAAGAGCTGCAACGTTATGATCGCACGATGGAACAGAGCCGCGGACTATATCTCGTTCCGCACAAATACGGACTCGGACTGTATTTCAGCTTCTACAAACACGAACAATGCGTAGCAGCAAAGAAAAAAAAACGCCAAAGAGACAATAAAAATACCCTCGTGTAATGTAATCAACGTGAAATTGGACGTGCTCGCGAGACGTATGCGCTTACCGTACGAGGGCAAGTTTGCTCAATAAGTTTTTAGAAAAACATAGTAAAACACATTTTTTTTGATCGATTTATTTTTATTTCTCAACATTGTCTCCTTTCAATTCGATCCAATGATTCTCCAACTTTCAAGCCGTTCCGAATGATTTGTCCAACCCTTCAAAATAAGCCTCTGTTTCGGCGATGAGCTAATCTCTGATGATGAATCTCTTTTCTCTAGATCATTTCTTCAGGTTTGGAAACACGAAATAATCGCAGGGAGTTAAATATGCTGGATGCAATTCGTAGCGGAATTCGTTGAATTTGACCATCAGTGTCGGGCACGTGTGAACCCGTGCATTGTCTTGATGGAATAGCACTTTCTTCTTCGCCAAATGGGAACGTTTTTTCTTTAAAAGTTGAAACAATTCAATAAGGCTACGTAATAATCGCCATTAATTGTTTGCTTCGACGGAAGATAATCGATGAATAATACCGCGTGTATCCCAAAAAACTGTGGCCATCACCTTTTCGGCTAACTTTTTATGGTCTTCGTTGGAGCTGATTCATCCGGCGAAGTCCATTGTTTTGATTGTTTGATCCTTCATCTCAGGTGTGAAGTAATGGATCCATGTTTCATCCACAGTAATGAATCGACGCAGAAATTCGTCTGGATTACGTTGAAATATTGTTTTGAAATCGTCACATGGTTGCGCTTATGGTCCACAATGAGTAAACGCGGCACCCATCTTGCCGATAGCTTTTTCATATCCAATTGTTTGTGTAAAATTGAATTCACTGTACCATGTGATATGCTTGTGGTCTCAACAAGCTTGCGCACTTTCATTCGTCAATCAGTCAAAACAATATCGTGGCCTTTATCGATGATTTCTGGCATATTCAGCCTCAATTGGACATCCTAAACGAGGTGCATCACATGTGGATGTATGACCATGTTTAAATTCATTCACCTAATTGTACAGTCGCAAATGCTGGTGCAGATGTGCTATGAACATTATCCAACTTGGCTTTCTTTCGGCGTTAAATTTCATACATAGATGTTTGATTACTGAACGGAACTTGTTTTTTTCCTTTTTGCAACAAATACAAAGGTTGTTCGCTTTAATCATCTATAGAAATGAAACCACGTGATGAATTCCACTCAAAATTTGACCGTTATCAGCTGAGAGATGCTACTTGTCGAAAAGTAATATGACATGACACTGCGAGTGCCCTCTAACAGATTTTCTAAGAACTTATTGACTTTCCCTCATACTTTAGAAATGTTTTTATGCGTAACGAGTTATCGACGAGCAGCGCGCGTCGAAATGAAAGGAATATCGTGAATCTGGACGATGGGACTCGGTACTCACTGGATAGTGTACACGAAGAGACACAACCGTGTATTTTGACAGTTTCGATAATCTTCGACCGCTCAAGGAACTGGTGTGATATATCGGGAATAGAATTATGATAGAGTACAATCGCAATGTCCTATCAGATGTACGATCAGAGCTTCTGCGGACAAATGTTTCTATGGTTTCTACGAACGATCAACGCTCGTGAATTTAAAATGCTCGATGAAATGCCGTGAAGTCTCAGTACTGAACGAACGCTTTTTCCGTCATGTTGCTAACACTTACAGTAAGTGAGAAGAGCAACCTCCTCGCGGCGAACTACTTCCCCGCCATAAATCTGAGTGATTACGAGTTGGTCTGGCAATTTTTTGAGACTCACCACACGATACCGAATGTAAATGAATCGAACAATAAATTTTATTTCAGCAAAGACGACGCAGAAATTACAATTCCCAAGGGTTTGTACGAAGTGCGAGACATAAATGAATTTTTGAAATGAATTTTACGATTTTACGGAAACGTTCGCGTCGCGATGCGCCCGATGCACATAACAATAACAACAACAACAGCAACAACAACAACAACAACAACAATAATGATGATGACATCGAAGGTGCGGAATATCCGATAATACTTCGTGCAAACTACAACAAGATGAAATGTGAGATTAGATGCGCCTATAGAATAAACTTTGGCAAGCCCAAAAGCATTAGATCGCTGCTGAGATTCTCGTCGAAGCGTATACTGCGACCACGAAGTTGGCACGAATCGAACGTATCGACCAACACAATGAACGTAACCGTTATTCGCGTAGAATGTAACGTGACCGCGGGCACGTATAGCAACAGCAAAGGTGTGCAAACGATACACGAACTTTCGCCGAGCGTGCCGCCGGGATATTAGATATCGGAAAGGCCCGCGCAGATTGTTTAGCTGCCGATCACCGTAAGGAGCATTACGGATTCTGTTTGATGACACGTATCATTAGAAAATAACAATATACAGTGGCACACTGTAAATGGTATGCATAGAATTTGACTGCAAGGAAAATGTGCCCGCAAATACAACATCCTATTGTCTCATCATACTTTGATCAAAAAGTTCCCGGAATTATCATCAGGTGATGCTCTGAGTCAGCTGATTTGAGTTCTGTTTTTTTGGTTAGGTTGCCACATCTATCACTGACATTCCCACCAAATTTTATCATCAGCTTTTATCAGCTAGCTTGACATTTGTAAAAGTTAGTTTTGAATACATCTATCTCTGCACGTATTTTCGATTTTTTACAGTTTTAAAAATGGAGTTGTATTTGCAACAATGAGTTTGTATTAAATTTTGCGTTAAAAATGGATTCAATGGTGTGAAAACCTTGGAAATGTTGGGAAACTGTTTCGGCAGTGATACTCTAAAGAAAACAACCGTTTATGAATGGCATGAACGCTTCAAAAGTGGTCGTGAATCCGTCGAGGATGACGAACGTAGTGGCAGGTCGACATCAAAAACCGACGAAAACATCAATAAAGTGAGAGAAATGTTGATCAATAACTGCAAATTAACTATCAGAGGACTTAAACATTGCTTATGGATCCATTCAGGACATTGTAGTTAATGGTTTGGGTTTGCGCCGTGTTGCTGAAAAGTTGATGAAGGAACTGAATTTCATGCAAAAAAGGGACCGCGTTGTCATCGCCAAAGATGATTTCCAAGGCTGAATCCAATCCAACATTCATCAAACGCATCATTACTGGAGACGAGACGTGGATTTATGAGTACGAAACGCAATCCAGATATCAGGCGAGTGAATGGAAAGCTTCAAATGAGCCAAAAGACCAAAAAAATCACGTTTTCAGTCGAAAAAGAAAGCAATGCTCACGGTTTTCATGGATTACAAACGATATTGTACATCACGAATTTTTGCCAGAAGGTCAGACAGTTAATAAGGAGTATTATTTGGGCGTTATGAGACGTTTGCGTGAAACAGTTCACCAAAAAAGAAAAGATTTGTGGGCAAACAACTCGTGAATTTTGCACCATGATAACGCACCGTCGCACAGTGCCATCATTACCCGTGAAAACGCGTTCCCCATTTTAACAGTCGAAAGAAAGGAGGTAATGGAAAAATCGAAGATAGCTCTGATGGCTATACCGACAATAGAGTTCCAGAAATGTTTCGAGAGCTGGATCAAGCGCCGGCATAAGTGCGTTGCAGTCGATGGGGAGTACTTTGAAGAGGACAATACCACTTTTGATGAATAAAACTTATATTTTGAATTTTCTGAATGAATTCCGGGAACTTTTTGATCAAGATAGTATACAATCATGTAGCTCAATATAATCCGTTGACGTAGTTCATAAGATCATGTAAATTTCGACGTCAACATGTATTTAAAGCTTTAAAGAGAGAAAAATTGGAGTGAGGTGCAGTTTCAAAAAATTGCTCATAACCATATCGACATTTGTGGATCTGTAAGGATTCAGCGGAATAAGAAATTTATCGTGAAGGAAGTAACGATGTTGAAACAGAAGACCGTTCGCACGCATTATATTTTTACGAATCCTGTGTTATGGAAATTTTTGACAAGATCTGATAAGTCTTGCGCTTCCTATTATAGTTAATTGCTTATCATTGTGGATTGCGACGGGAAGATGGGAGGATCCTCCCGTACTGCGAGGCGAATCGCCTGATTACGGCGGCTATATTTGAAGATGATGCTATCATGTACGTCAAGAGACGCGAGAAACGAACATGGCTGTGGAATTTGCTTCCGGACAATGAGCGAGAGTGCATGTATTGGGTTGTCCGGAAAGTTCGTGCTGATTTTGAAGGAAAATTGAAACGCAGAAGAAATTATTATTTGAATTTTTAATTTCATTTATTAAATTTAAATCTTTTGCGGCACGAACTTTCCGGACAACCCAATACATCGAGATCTTGGATGCAGTTTCCGAAGATATGGAATGTTTATCTAATTTAGATGTTACTAATACTATGCGATGTGGACAACATATTGCGCGTTACAAAATGTATTGGAAATATATAACGGGTGGTTATAAAAGAATTTTTTTTAAATAAAAATACGTATTTATTATGTATTTCTTTTTCCTTTCCTTTACAATGTGTATGTATTGTATATAAGTTTGTATGTACGTACAAATGTATGTATAAGCGTATGTATAAACGTACATATAAACGTACGTATAAACAAAATACGTAGAAAGACGTAATAAAACACCACGACATGTTCGAAATTCTTAGAAAGAGGAAAGGCCTGACTCCCCTATCGATTCTAGAAGTACTACTATATACGTCACAATTTTCGCGGATGCAATCAGTCTTGTGATACCCGCTTGTACGAATGGTTGAAAAATGTACTTTGCCAAAGGGAGCAGCGCATCGTGAAGAAGGAATATAACGTAAGTTTCAACATTCTACACACAAAGAACGATTTTTAACATTATGTACACAGTATGTACACAGTAGCATCGCGCGGTTTACTGAACAGACATTATAACCTGACGAATACGGGCTAAAGATTTTTGGAAATTGGAATCAACGTTGATCCACTGAGTTATGTGGAGATCACTCTGGGAGATCATCGCGGACACGAATTGTCGTTGTCTTTCAAAAACGTGGAAGGTTCTCTATGAGCAGCGATGGAATATTTACAAAATGCTTCGAAACGAATACAAAGACAATTTCATAAGCGTTGGACCGCTAAAGACCAGAGTTTGTACGCTGCTACGATAACGATGCTACAATCATTCGTTTCTGCTACAATTCTTCGTCCGTATGCTTGACCAAAATATATGTATGTTTGAATTTGATGGGTATATCGATGTAATGTTCGAACGATTGGCCCGATTCGTCGATTTGATTGATGTTAAGTATATGCGATTTCCCAATATCGCGTCTGAGAACGCTATACGCGATAGCGACAACTTCAATGGACATCAGCTCATCGATTATGAGCTATTAGTTTTAGTTTTTAGTATATACAAAAAATCAGTGTAATAAGGTGTGAATAAAAAAGAATTCGTTCGCATCACTATATATATGTACTTTATTTTACTATCCATCCTTTGCCCTGAAGTGCTGAAAAAGAAAAAGGAAAAAACACAATGTATTGTGAAAACAAAGTCCTAAAAAAAGATAAAGAAAAAAAAGAATGTCGTCTGTATCGTTGCGTTCTATCTTTTTCTAACATACGAGCTTTTGTTACCGATGCATTTTGGGGAGAACGGTGGCGGGTGATGAAACAAATACGAAACGCATAATGAAACGTCATCACGCATATCATGTTTATGTAATTCATCGATCGGAGTCGACATATTGGGAGTACAAATTAGTTCGGTCCGTTTGGCTAAAGATGGCTCCAGCTGTTGTGAATGGTTCATAGGGACAGCTGATTTTGGCGGTTTCAGAGAGGTTAAACATCTGCTCATAATATTTAGTTTATATCGCTTTGAGTTTCATATAAAAAGTTTCATACTTGATTTTTACTGTGTTTGAAATGAATTTTATGTTAACCAAGCAAATTTTGATTTTCTGCTTTAATTGGAAGAAAAGTGCGGCTGAAGCCCATCGAATGCTTATCGAAGTTTATGGTGACACTGCTCCAAATGATCCTGAATCCTGATCCTGAATGAACAATCCTGATAAATTATGTAGGGAATGGTTTCGACGTTTCAAGGATGGAGATTTCAACGTTGAAGACAAGCTTCGTTCTGGACAACCACAAAAATTCGGAGACAAAGAATTAGAGGCATCACTCGAAGAAGATCAGAATCAAATGCAAGAGGAGCTTGCAGAATCATTGGGGATGACTCAACAAGCCGTTTCTATACAATTAATGGGAATGATTCAAAAACAAGGAAATTGGGTGCCTTATGAACTGAAACCGAGAGACGTTGAAAAGCGATTTTTCATTTCGATTTTTCAATTAGCAAATAGCTGATTCAAAGACAACAGAGAAAAGATTTTTTGCATCGGATTGTGATTGTAGATGAGAAGTGAATATTCTATGACAACCTCAAAAAGAAAAAATACGCTAAGCCCGGTCAATCGTTGCCATCGACCTCAACATCAATACCACGGCCGAACATTCATGGTTCGAAAATCATGCTCTGTATCTGGTGGGACCAAAAGGGTCTTGTTTACTATGAGCTGCTGAAATCTGGCTTCCACGGGCGATCAATATCGGCTAAAATTGATTCGTGTGAGCCGTGCATTGCGAGAAAAACGGCCGGAATACGAGCAAAGACATGTAAAGTTATTCTTCTTCATGACAACGCTTGACCTCATGTCGCTAAAGTCACAAAAAAATATTTGGAAACGCTCAAATGAGATGTTTTACTGCCCCTGTCGTATTCTCCGGACATTGCTCCTTCTGATTATTGGTTGCTCCGAAGGATGCAGCAAATCACCGGTTCACTTCTTTCGCAGAAATCGAAAATTGAATCCAAAATTGAATCGCCTCCAAAGACGAGTCATTTTTTCCAGATGGAGAATTCGGAAATTGCCTTGAGAGATGAGAGAAGTAGACAGCGATGGACAATACTTTAATTGATCTGTTCATTCATTTTGTTTTGAAATAAAGTTTTTTTGAACACAAAAAATGGACCGAACTAATTTGTTTACTCCCAACATGAAACTATAGTTAGTATTGTTTTAATCATGAAGCTATAGTTAGTATTGTTTACGTAAAGCGATGCCGGCAATCGAGAACTTTCTCCGCGCTGCCTTCTCTCTCGCGACTACGAATATTCCTCGCGCTCCGCGCTCACCTCTAGCCCCATTGGTTAGAACCGGCCTATATTTACTTTCGACTCCCGCGAGATTTAGAACCGATAATAATGAGGATACGAAGATTCTCAATGTGCATTTCCTTGAGTCGGATGTAGAG